GTATACAATGGACATCGACGCCCCGCTTACCAAGTTTCTGCCAAATAAATTGTTTTTACTTTATATTAACAACATCGTTGTGTACTATTTTTTTCTAATTTTGCACAAAAAAAATATTGTTCTAGAAATAATTATTTTGTTTCCTAAGTTTTCTTTTTTTCTGATTCTTTTATTCCCAGAGAGTTTCCTGTTTTTCCCACCCTTCAAATTAACGATTTTCACTCTCGAAAATAATTATATGTTTTAAAAAATATCACGGTTCGGCACAATTATCTTCTTTAAACATTTATGTCTGTACAAGTCTAGGATATTTTTTAAATTGCTTTTTTAAAAAGTTATGAATTCTTAAATAACATAGTGACTCATTTCTGTTTAAAAATTATTAAAGATAGAATACTTATACACAAGTAAACCTACCTAAAAAATACACTCCGATTTCTTTCTAATTTGGCACAAATGTAGAAGTATAAAAAATATTTTGGTCAAATTTTTTTATTTTGGCCTACTTTGAGTTTCACGGGCAATTAAAATCACTTTTTAATGTTCTCACTTCTATTATCAACAAGTACAACAAAAATGCATAAGAAATAAAATTGAATACGAGATATAAGCGTTTTTAGTTTGCTGATTATGAATATGAAGTCACATGTTTTGTTTAAATAATAAAATGTTTAAACAAAACATGTAAAAAGTTGAAAAAATTATTTATAAAAATAATTTCTCGGTTTAGCCGAGATCCGAACCATTTTTGACTAATTTAGCACAAATTTGAAATATTTCGGTTGGAATCTCGGCTAAAGAAATTTAAAATAATTCGTGTCTCAGTTATGCCGATTTTGTTTAAATTATATAACTATGTATTGTATTCAATTTTATTTCTTATGCATTTATGTTGAAACTCAAAATGGGCCAAAATGAAAAATATGACCTAAATATTTTTTATGTTTCTACATTTGTGCCAAGTTAGAAAGAAATCGGAGTGTAACCTTTGGATAGATTTACTTGTTAGTAATTTATTTGTCACAAAACGATTATGTGATCTCCAACTAGAAGAGGACAAAGGGAATTTTAATAATTTTTGGAGATTTTTTCGATTCCAAAGGAAGAAAAATCAAGGAAGACACAAATGACTCTAGTTCACTCTGAAGGTGCCAAAAATACCTTACCATTCAGGTAATTTAAAACTGACTTCATAATATTATTTTGCCGTTTCATTCACAAGAGAAAACATCTTACTATTCTACTCCGATTCGGATACTCCTTTGATATGTTATAGAGTATGAAAAATAAGACACGCATTTTTTTATCGGCGGAAAACATATCTATAGGAAGTAAAATCAACCCCGAAACAAAGAGTGTATAGTTTATTTTTATTTTTTATTTTTATTTATTTTATTATTTATTTATATTTATATTTATTTTATAGTTCTCTATAGAAGCCGTTGTCCTATTTGAATAAAACAAACGTAAAATATTTCTTTTAATGAGGATTGCAAGATATATTTGATGCAAATTTTATTGTCGATTGTACGAGGGCAAGTTAGTCGCATCAAACATTAAAACTTTTGTAAAAATCGCACAACAATAATCTTGCAATAAAATACGTCTTGTAATCTTATAGGAAATTATAAAATAAATCAATTACAGCTCTAACTTCGGAGCCTGATTTCAAAGCTCGCTAGACATGTTTCTTCGCCACGATACAAAAGAAATACATATGATTCATTTTTCTATACTCTATAATATATCAAAGGGATATCCAAATCAGAGTGGAACAGCGAGGTATCTTTCCTTGTCATTATGATACTAATGGAAACAAAAAACAGCAGTTCTCTAGCCTGTAATCTTTACACAAAACTAACATTATACAACGATATAATGAATACTGTTCTTTCTTCTATTCCCGCATTTCTTAATATATGACATTTATAACGGTTCTTATAAATTCTTTTCTTATAAATTTATAAATTCTTCATTTAAATGGTATCATTTTTTACGAAGTTACAGTTGAATAATGTGGTCATCTATATTGTTTCTACTAGGTGTGCAAAATTACGATATTCAGTATTAAATCCCTCATGAACGCGGTGCGGATAAACCGTACGAAACTTTAACTACGAATCTGTTTTATCGCGATAAATGTTGCGTGAAATTCCGTTATAATTTTAAGCATTTTGATTTAAGTGAATAAACTCCTTGAAAAAGGCGAAGAACCGCAAAGTGTTCCCTATGACCTCGCGACGTAAAACGCGATAAATCTCGCGCGATTATTGTGAGAAGTTTTGCGGATTCTTGCCAGGAAGCCAAAATATACACGGCTGGTTCGCGGGCAGATTTATACAACGCAAAAATATGAAACGTGAGGAGGACGAAAACTCGCATTTCCCGCTTTTCAAAACTTTCCTATGTACGTGTAAGTGAGTGAGTGAGTATGTATGTGACAAAATTGTAAATAAATGTAAATCCGAAGACGGCAAGCACAAAGAGCGTACTTCCCCGTTCCGCAACAAATAAAGAGACGCTTTCGTGCTTGTCATGTTGGCACGAATTACAGCTGGCTTGAAAAAGTTATAATGATCCGCGATTCCGAATCGTTATAACTTTCATCACGGATTCCGGATCATTATAACTTTGTTTTTTACCACAGCTCGAGACGCTCTGTAATATACGCGAACGCGTCGATTCGTTATAGAGGATCGCCTCTAACGAAGAGCGCGCACTTTGCGAGTTTCGGCCGTTCCGCGAGCTATTATCGCGATTTGCAGCGCGACGCGTTGCAAACCGCTGCTATCGTTTTTCGGCATACTGTAACTATCTGAACAATGCTCAATTAACAAGGTACGTACGCGCGGCCAAGCGCAGCGCATAGCTTTCGTGAATTGAACCGGAGTGGTGCGACGCGTAACGACATCGACGCGTCAATCCATACCACAAGCGCGGATGACGGGCACGAATCGAAATTTTAAAACTTCGGAAAGTGAACAGCTGCACGGTGCAGTTCGGTTGTCTCTTCGACGGGCGGTTTTCCGGGGTTAAGGGAGATATGAGAGAAAGAAAGAGAAAGAAAAGTATAGAGAGAGAGAGAGAGAGAGACAAGACAGAGAAACGCTGATCGACTTACTCAACGTCGCATTGTTGGCACGAGACTGGTCTGTCTGCGATCTGAGCAACCGCAGTCGATTCAGTTTGCTCTGTTGTTGGTCCAGTCTGTGCTTCAATCTGGCGAGTTTGTCCTGCTGTGCTGGCTCCTGAAACGGTAAATAGCGCGTGAACGTGGGCGCTACATAGGTGCGATGAATACGAACGATACGGCGAATGAATGATGGACTAAGGCGGGAACGAAATGTGAGAGTCAATGAAATTATCGCGAATATCTTTGGGATTGAAAAAACGATTGAACGCGCAGCCACGGGAAAGGAAATATTTGCTGGCACAATTGCAAACCTCTAGTTAGTTAAAGCAACAATGCTCATTGAGAAATGTTTGGCATATTTACTCTCTACAACCATTCAAATAGTATAATAAAATATAAATGTAAATACACACATATACAGAGTGTCCCACACTCTTCTCCTCATATTAAGTGGGAAGAACGGATGAGGTGAACATAAAAGTCCTATATCGTTTTGCGATATTCGTAATAATAGTCGAGATATTAATTTAAAAAATTGGTGAATGATCACGCACGATATGGTAGATGAGCTGCAGTGGCGCCGTCTGCTAGTGAATGCTTTTTATTTAATAACACAAGTCAACACATTCTGTCTTTGTTCCATATTCAATGAGTAACTAAGATAGGATGATTTATGGTTTTATGGTTTGTGTCGACTTATGTTATTACATGGAAAACACCCATTGTATACTTATACATTAACTCAAACTAAACAAAAAAGTCCTCTACCATTTTGCAAATAACCACATAGATTTTTAAATATTAATTACAAAAAATTTGTGTATTATGATACACAATCATAAATGTAACAATTTTCTTTATAATATCTATTATGTTTACCTCAACTCGTTCTACATTTCCACTTAATGTGAGAAGGAGAGTCTGGGACACCCTGTATATAAATAGAAGAAGATGCTGTACCCTTTTTTTGGACCTTTTCTGACATTTCTATTTTTATTTTTGTCATTTTGATTCGGCTGGTAATACTAAAAGTGCATGCAAAACACATGGCTATAACTTCCATAGATAAGATCTCTGGCGATAAACACAATGAATGAACATATTAACAAAGCGAAAAAATTACTAGATAGCGCTGAAATTCACATAAGATCACAGTACTTTCCTCTACATATAATTTATATTAATTATATTAATTATTATTTATATATATTATTATTACATATATTATTTATATTAATTATATTAATATATTATGTTACTAATATATGCATTTATTAATATAAAAAGAAAAACACGTAACATATAACAATATATGTTTCTCATCACAGGTATATTTAGATAGATTATATTTAGATTTAACGGATGTGCACTTCTCCAAAAAACATATAAAAATATTTCTTCATTATCTATTAATTTAGTGCATAATTTGCTTGGCAAAATTAGTGAAATAGTTTCGCAGACTTTAATTAGCTTGAAATATGAAATTATTTGCTGCGGTAATTAACATATACATATACAAATATGAGTTTTCGTTATGAGCAGGTCTATAATTGCTTCTACACATAATTTCCTTAATCCTTAATACACTGGCAAATCTGCTTAATTATATGGCATTGTGTCCAGCAAATTATAAATTTGCCAAATTAACCGAGTCATTTTTTTCCGTGCATGTGCATTTACTGATGAAAGCGCCCTTCAAAGTTTATGAAGCCCGATGAGGATTCTAACGACGTCTCCTCCGGCGGGATGTAAGAAAACGCGCGCGTGAATCCGAATCTAATGATAATAGGAGCGCGATTTCCGCGCGTAAATGAGAATCGTGAAACTTCCGCGGTCCATAACGATCACGGAGAGAAAGAAAGAGAGAGAAAGAGAGAGAGTTCCGATAGTTTAGACTCGAGAATGTGAAATACCATCAGCTATTGTTGGGAGTTTCCGTGGCAACCGCGGTAGAATATCGGGAAAAAGGAAAACGAAAAGAAGAAGCCGCGGTATTGTGCCCCGAAAAGGGACAAACAGCCAGTAATGGCTTTCTGCACGCGGAACGTGTCAACTTTACGCTCTCAAGATTCGCTGGAACATTTTTTCCCTCCCTCTCTCTCTCTGTCGCATTCATCTCTGCGCTCTGGTCGATATAATACCCCGACACGTCGCATAATAGACACATAACGGGAGGAAGCGATTGGCTACCGCATAACGCGTTCTTCTCACGCGTGTAACGCGTCACCGGATCCCGCGTGCAGGAGTCACAGGAAGAGCAAGGGGAAGGGGTGGGAGCCGGAGGCGAAGGACGCTAAGGAGAAGGAGAGGAAGAGGATGATGACGATGAAAACGGTGGGATACAACGAGACTCACCTGTGCGCCTCGAAGCACGGCTAAGCGGGCCTCTCTCTGCTCCAGGAGGCGCCTTTGCTGAGCAATCTCCCGCTGTTGCCTGGCCGCCATGCTTTCAAGCTCGCTGAGCACCAGCACAGCACCACCCCCGCCCACTGCTAACTGAAATAAGATTAAGAGCCCGTAAGGATACGAACAGCATGGTGTGCGTAGATAAAACAACGACGTCGTCGTCGTTGTCGGCGACGTAGACGACGAGGACGAGGAGGAGCATGCGGGCAGGTACGAGTGATATAGCGCCGATACAGGCGCCGAATCGCCGATTAATTATATCGCCAATATCGGCTCTTCGATCGGTGCCCCGTTTCCTGACCTTCCGCGGCGCTTCCGAGCTTCCGCCGAATCTACACGCGTCATGTGCGGAGTCAGGGGATGAGGGTTAAATGTGGACAGCGCGTGAGGCGACCACTCACTCACCCGGATTCGCCCCGAATACATTCAAGAAAGATATAACGTGTAAAATGTAAAAATATATAAAATGTAGAGATACATAATTGAAGTTGCATTGTACTTTGCGACGGCGGATGAATCGTGTTATTTTGGACTAGAGACAGATAGATTGCAGATTTATCTGTGTCGCAAAATATCGCGACAGACGGAACGTTTCTTTGTCGCGGAGCACGGAGATGTTTCGCGCGCGATTCGAGAAAGTGACGTGTCGTATTCTCTCGTCGGGACTTTTTAATAAAATAACAGACAACCCTTGCTAGAAACTTAATGCAGTTTTCGAGCAGTTGCTGGACAGTTGTGTTAACTTTCGTCTAGTGACTGAAGAGTAAAACTGCTTGGGATTCCAATCGAGATATAACGCTTTTCCTACAGTTTCTGCGCACGGAAGTTGTGGAAAATCTAAACCCGTTTACTGAACGAAAGCACAACAGAAAATGGACATAAAACTATGCACTTAATTAATTACAAAAATTTATCTTTACTTATAATTAATATTCATAATATTAATATTCACAAATATTCAAAATTGATATTCATAATAAATATTCACTTGGAACTAATATATTCCAATTGTAATCTCATTATATATCATAATAATAATATCATTGTTTCATACTTATATATCATACGATATATAATTTTGTTAGAAGAATTTAAAGTCTCGAATTCCAACAATATTATAATTTTATTTGAATATTATAACAGTATCATTAGAAATGAAATATAATTATTTTGATAATAATAGCATCTCTTTTCTTCCAACATTTAAGAATATTGTATTTCCAATCCGATACTTTGTGCTTTTTATTTGTAAAAATTATTTTTTGATAGTAAGAATATATTTATCCTTGTTAAATCACATATAAAATAAATTAACTTGGTTTTGTTTGACGCTATATAACTTCATTTTAAAATTTACGTAAAAAATTTATATAAAAAATGAAGATATTTCCAAGACTATTCAAGAATATTCTTTCTTCTATGTATCAAATGTGTGTTGATAAAATAAGCAAATTTTGTTTATAAGCAAAGGCTGTTCATAAAATAAACAGATTTGCTTTAGCAATCTTTCATTCCTCGTTTTTTTTTTGTTTAAAAATTTTAGTATTAATGAAAATCACAGCGCAGGAAATTTTTGTTATATCATTATCCGAATCATCATCATAATAGTGGTGTGTTCTAGATTTTATCGCGATAAAATTTTGTGTTATTAACATGCACTCTATTTATTTTTTGCTCACGTTCATTTTTCGCCTCCATTATTTTCTCTGTCACAAAATTTAATATCGTCAAATGCATTATTTCATTCAATTTAGTTTTCTTTTGCTGTGTGCTCTTCCACACGTTCACTCATCGTTCATTTAAGAAAAAACAAATTGAATTTTCTATTGCTTGGAGACCAGATGAAAAACCCGATTATAGTAACAGAAGGATCTCTGTACGAAGTTTCTACTCAGCCAATTGCTCTCAGTTGCCTCAGCCGAGTATTAATGCAACTGAACGTTTGGACGAATGATTTTAGTCGCAGTAAGAAATATAATTTCTCATCAGAGTGAGTTTTTCATCTGGTTCCCATTCAGTTAGCCGAGCTGAAATATGTTTCCAGTGTGTTCACGCAATTTTAAGCTCTCCCTTAACGACATAAATAAATACATCTTGAACCTATTCACGACAGACATTATAATACATGCACATGATAAAGCTGAATATTCCTGTACTTGGAAAGAGTCGGTTCGCATATTGTGTAGAGAACTCAACTGAATAAACTTCCATTAAGCTCTCACCCAATTCCTATGTAGTATTTTTGCAACTGATTAGAATGCATTAATACTGAATAACTGAACAGAGGGACGTCTACGCGAACCGCACACACTTCTGCCAGAGGAAGTTCGAAATTCGGTCGGCTACCGTGACCTCCAAGTTTCACGATATATAATCCGCACATCGAGAAAGATGGTGATGCGGTGCAACGCACCACGAAGCCCCGATCTGTCGACGGGGAAAGAGCGCTGGACCGACGCGATGTGTGCGCGCATTCGTGGCTCCTTTTTGTTTCATCTCTCTGGTGTGCACCATCATCTGGAGAAGACCGACCGACCGACCGACCGACCGACCGACCGGCCGGCCGGCCGGCCGATGCGCCGCGCCTCGCCGCGCCCGATACCAGGTAGAATCCCAAGGTCGGCCCTTCGAATTCCACCGCGACAAGGACTCCGTGTAACCTTCGTACGTCAATGAAAGTGCCGCAAGACGACGACGACGACGACGACGACGACGGGCAGCGCGAATCGAAGAGTGCGGGCGACGCAAATGTCGATCACGTCTCGGCACGTCGATCCGCCGTCCTCTTTACGGAAAATCGCGTGTCCGATTTTTCCCTCTTTTCCTCTTCCTAATCTCTTTTAATCCTGACAGTAACACGCTCATTTTATCTGTTATCTGTTATCCAACGCGTTTTATCTGTTATCTGACGTATATTCTCGAGACCGATTTCAAATTTATTAAATCACTCATCGTAAATTGTAATCATTGCTCGCCTTGCTGTTTTACACTTCACGCGCTTTTCATGCATAATTTTGAGGGAGTTCTTGAAAGTAAATTAGAATGAAATTTACACTAATGTATCCAGAAAGTGCTTCACGTCAAGATTTACGTCGTCATCATCGTCCAGGTATTTCTATATTAGCGTACTCAAAATCGTAGGCATTACTTGAGTACATCAAACCTCATAAATGCAGTCTCATTGTACAGCACAGTGACATATGAAATTCTCGACGTCAGGCGTATTATATATAAAACAATCGTGCATCATGAATGTTGATTATTCTAGGAAAAAATTGCCAGTTTTTCGAATAATCAATAGTCATAATGCGCGAATATTTTATATGTAATGTGCTTGATCACGTTTGTCTGTTGTTATCGTTGGAACAATAAATAATTATAGATAACATTTGAAACAATTAGATACTCACTCTCCAAATTCGTTGGAGTGAAATCTCACTTAAAACGAGTAAAAAGTGCCAATATTTTCACTTAAGACGAAAATATAAAGATACTGTTTTATTTAAGCTTAGAAATGGATTCTGATAGCAAATTTCTGAGCAAATGTTCTAATCAATCAGATTGATGATGTTCCTGCGACAGTAGAGTACATTAGATTCGCTCCTCAATTTCGAGTGAAAATGTTCACTCGATGAACATTTTACTTTCTGAGTAATATTTTACTCGAAAAAATTTAGAGAGTCAAGAATAGATTCAAGACTTACAAGTAAGTCTATCCAAAAGTTACACTCTGATTTCCTTCTAATTTGGCACAAATGTAGAAGTACAAAAAATATTTAGGTTATATTTTTTCATTTTGATCCAATTTGAGTTTCACGGACAGTTTATAGCTTTTTAATGTTCTCACTCCTATCATCAATTCAATTTTATTTCTTATGCATTTTTGTTGTACTTGTTGATGATAGGAGTGAGAACATTAAAAAGCTATAAACTGCCCATGAAACTCAAAGTGGGTCAAAATGAAAAAATATGACCTAAATATTTTTTCTACTTCTATATTTGTGCCAAATTAGAAAGAAATCGGAGTATACTTTTTGGGTAGGTTTATTTGTTAGTGGACAGTACTCGTTGAAAACTGAATAAAATGGTATCAGTGAATGTTTCAACTCATTAGAGTGAGTTTGTTCCTGTGACAATGAAGTACATCAGATTCGAATGAAAATGTCTACTCAGTGATTCAGAATGCAGAGTTCACTTTACACAAAGATCACTCGAATTCGAGCGTGACTCGGTGGCCACTCTACTTTTCGAGGGGAATTTTATTCCACGAAATTTGGAGAGCAAGCGTTCAGATACCCGAGTAAAGCCCGAAGATACACAGGTACCCAGGTGTTATTCGAGATACACGAGTACGTGGAACACAGAAGGCAGCATTCTCTTTCTCCGCTTCCAATGGCGTCTCTCAAACAGAGAGCGTTCGCGTTATTACACAAAACAAACGAGACAAGCAGTCAGGCCGCGGAGACAGCGCGGAGTCGTTTCCTTCATTAATCGGATCGCCGTCGTGTCAAAGCTGAATTGAATCCAAAGTTGCGACGGTGTTATCGCGTGCTTTACTTATGTGTACGCCACCCGTCCAGTGTGCGAGTGACTGGAGCGGTTTCGTGGTCGCGTTGTAGAACGAAAGTATCGCGTTGCACGAGACCTATAAGACAATAACAGCGCGAACGCGAACACGGGCGGAAGATAATACACAACCGCCTTCGGGCGCCGTTCCAGCTCCTGCCTCTTTTCACTCCGTGGTAACTCTCTCGCGTGACAGTTAATTGTTTCGAACCGGCTTGGCCGTGCGCGGCAATGCGATGGCAAACGAAGCAAACGCGTACGCTGCAACGCGGCCTCGTGGTCGGGCGTATCGCTTTGCGAGCGAGCGTAGAAATGAAAAGCCATTTTCCGACACTGCCGCCGGGCGGCGTGACGCCGACGACTTGTCGATTCGCATTCAATTTCATTACCGGCGACACACGCCGTTGCTATGCGAAAACGGCAAACGATAGAGTAACTATGGGACAGCAATTGTATAGTCGGCTGCAAATCGGTTTGCACACTCTTTTTGTCGGAAGTTGTTCAACGCTTCAAGTTATCGGATT